AGACAATAGTAAACAGAAAACGTTGAAAGAGCCACGAACATACATCAAGTCTGCTTTCCTTGGCTATGCTGAGACCACCTGGCTAAACATTCCTAACACCTCCTGCCTTAGAAGCTTCGCGCAACGAAGCTCTCTGCAAAACAGCCTCCTCTCCTCTCCTCATGGAAGTAGCAACTCAAACCAATCCTCTTAAAACTCTTCCTACAGGCAGTGAATTTTCCATTCCATCAATCCCCTCTTCTTTCTTGAGCCCTGACCCTTATACACTGCTGGTGGCAGACATCAGATATATAATCAGTGGATTGGCTTTAAATAAGTTAACAGTCTCTAGGTCTTTATTTGTCTCAACATGTAAGTCCCTGGGACCCAAGGTCCTTGACAGACTGGTGGAGCCCCTCAAAAAAGGCAGTTAAGCTGGCAGTGGGGAGAGAGAGGAGGGAGGGCCTCCTGGGCCAGGGAACCCTCAAATAACAGTCACTTAGGCTGGCCCTCCCAGGCATCAGGGACCATGTTTGTTTAGTTTGCTTTATACACCAACTGGCAGCAGTGGTTTTGGTGGTGGCACCCTGAACCAGCACAGACAGGCTCGAGCTGGAAATGTAACATTTTTCCTTAAATGTTTTTAAATACGTCTTACACAACTGTCATGTTGTAAGTTTACAAATGTAAACTTAATTGGGACCAAAAGTAACCAGGTCCAATAGACTGTGTTTCTGGACAGATTAAGAGGCCAGAGAAGTAAAACTGTGCCTTCCCTGTGGTGAGGGCTTCCCTGCAGGTGTTTGAAAGCCATCTTACAAGACAGCCTGGAATTGTTCTCCCTTCAAGAAAAATAAGTTCACAGTAGATTTTTTACTTTGGTCTGGTAGAAGCCCAGAGTTAAATTTAGCAAGAGTTCAACTTAAAAGGTATCAGTCATGCTGAGTTGTTGGTGAAATCTATATACTCTTGCTCTGAATTGCATTTATTCTTTAAAAATATTACAAAAATGTAGTTACTGTTCAGGGTTTGTTTTTATGATTGTCTTACTAAAGAGTTCCATTTTTGTAGCAAAATACATACAGTTAGCTTACAAAGCGGGAGTGTGGAGGAATCACAGATGATGTCCAGCTATGACCACTGCTGGGCTTCTAACATGTCTGGATATGTGAGCAGATCATGAGCATGTGGGCTGGATCTGACATGGTATATTTTCTTGGAGGACCCGGTACTCTCCTGGTGAAGAACTCATCATAAATACAAATATGGTTAGGCAAAGAAGCGTGGCGCAATTTTAAATTGTCATTAGAAGGGAGAGAAATTCTAGAAGCCATATGGTGGCTGTCACCAAGGGCTGAATCAAGAAATGGTACCAGGTCCCTACCCTCCAACTCCCCTCTCTGTGGACTCATGCCTGAATCCTAGGGAGATCAGGGGCTGCAAGTAAAAACTGAAAAAGCTGCTTCGCCAAAAACTTATATAAGACAATGGGGTGTTAAGTTGCCCTACTTTGTCACCCCTTCTATGAGAGTTTCAAAGAGAAAACTTCACAGTGGACCAATGACCATTGGTTTTGCCACCATGGGGGCTTCTGAGTAGCAGCAGTAGACAGATGGGTGGGTGGCAACGCCCCACAGAAGCACTGGAGCTGCAGGGATGCCTGCAGAACAGCACCAGTGCCCATCGGACGTGGACTTACCCAGAGGAAGGGCCACACCTGCTAGAACTGAGTGGCACCTAGACAAAAGCAGCACCGCCAATGTGACAACCATCTGGACTCTGCAGCTGGGGCCCTGCAAGAGCTCAGGCAGCTGAATCAACTGCAAAGGAAGAGACAAGGAAGGGCCTAACCCTGTTAACCAGAATATTCCACTTAACCAGAACTCCACATTCCCTAGCGTTCTGCTGGACCAGATTTCTTTTCATGCACATATCTAGTAGGGTTAGTAAATGAGGCAGCCTGTGAACCCCTCCTGGGCTGCAGATGTTGGGCACACTGGCAATGGGAAACTCTCCACCCCTGTCCTGAGGACAAATGTTAGGGAGATGTGTGCAAAAAAAAATGCATCGGTGAAATAAATTAGCTTGCACGTATCTGATGGAATATCATGCCGCAAAGAAAAACGATACAGATCTACTTTTAGTGGCACAGAAATATGTTTGTAATATAGAGCAAAGTAAATGAAAAGCAGATTAGAGATTGTTGCGATGATTACTCAACTGAATGCATTTGTCAACACTCATGGAACTGTTTACCAAAAAGAGTTCATTTTACTGTGTGTAAATTATACCTCCAAAAGAGCAGATTATAAAATATTTACAGAGGGATCAAATGTATGTGTGTGCGCATGTGTGTGTGCCTCAGAAAGGCTCAATGTTAACAGTGACTATCTCTATTATAATTAAGATAAATTTTATTCTGTTTTTCTTTTTGCTTAATTGTCCTTTAATTTTTTCCCAGAGGAATAGATACTGCTTTAACATTTTTAATTGTGAAACGGGGAGCACAAAAGATATTTGTGTTCAAGGAACACCTCGCTTGGAGTAATGAGGGTGACTGGGCCTTGCCCTGTGCAGAGCATCATGGGAGTTACAAGAGGAGGTTGGTTATAAGGAGCCCACAATAGGTGCTCAGTAAATGTTTCTCAGACGAATGAATAATTATAGTAGGTCATTTTATCACAAGGATCTAGTTTAGTAGTAACAATACCATTCTCATTTTAGATCCAAAATATTGGCAATGCACACATGAATATTTTAGTCTCCATTAGAGTGATAGCCAACTAATTGCTTTCAAACCAAATAGTTACCACATGCTCAAATCTCAGCTCTTTTATTTTAACTTCCCTCTGCTTATCCTCACCCCCATCTCCTCCTTTATTAATTCACATTGGGAAATAAATGACCACAAATGAATTGATACCACATAATTGTTAGGAAGACTGCTTAGGTATATCGAAGTGAAAGGCAAAAAACAAAAGAGAAGAACCAGTAATTTTCCACAGACTTGGAAGCAGCCTACTTTGTTGAGAAGTAGCAGGAAAAACAGCCCCGAATCAGTCCCCTGTTTTTGAAGACGTGACTGCTTCTAGTATGAGAGATGATCAGACCCTTCCCGGAAACGTGCTGGCTTAACCATCAGCCTCTTTAGGTCTGAGAGGTGTGTGTGTGTGTGGTGTGTGGTATGTGGTACGTGTTGTGTGTGTTGGTGGCAAGTGGGGTGTGTACGTGTGTTAGACACCACATGGATATGATCAAGATTACATTGCTGGGTGGATGGAATTTGGGGTCCACCTCAGAAGACTCAGGAACACATGAAAATACTGGGGATATTTAATGTATCGACTCAACCAGTTCTATTTTTTTCTAACAACTGCTAAAATCTTACACACAATTTAGACCCAGAAGAGTCTTTAGATCATTTATTCATTTTGCAAATGAGAGAATTTCAGCCCAGAGAAGAAGGCTGAAGGGGGCTGGCCAGCATCACACAGGGAGCTGGCTGCACTGTTGTTGGAATGAGGAACAGCATGTGCCCTTTGAAGACAATGTCCATGTGCTTCTGTATAAAGTCAGGGACATCCCTGAGCATCTGCCCTGAACAATGTGTTCCCCTCTGAGGCCTTCAGCCGTCACGTTTCTCTATCAGTCAGCATTAACCCCCCCACACCCCCCCTCCCATGGAGATGTAGCCATCTGGGGTCTGAAGGCCTGTCCAGGGCCCATTTGCTAAATGAGGGCATTATCTGCAGAGAGAGACTCCTCATCAGAGGCACGTTAATGACAAGCCAGAGGACCGAACAACCAAGAATGGATCCTGCTGACATTGTGAATAAAGGGACACACAACAATGCAACCAGAGAGTGGGCATCAGGCCAAGAGAGAGAGGGACAAGCCTATTGTGAATTAAGCCTGTACATTCCACAGCCTGGCACTCCAACCACTCTCTCCGTGCCCACAGCCTCCTTCAGGAGCCCAGCCCTGCAAGGGGACCAGTTCAGCTTCATCTCCCAGGCACCCATAGTCCCCCTGCATGACTTTCTCTTCCACATCTCTAAGCTTCTGCATGTGCTGTGTCCTCTACCACATACACTGCTTTCCTCATGATCCATCTGGTGAATTCCTCTTTGAAAATTCAGCTCAGCCACCACACTCTTTAGAGAGGACCTATCCTTTCTTCGCACCCAGCAGAGTTGCCACCTCTTCCCCTTCCAGCCGTGTGCATCCCTCACAGTCCTCCCTGTGGGTTTGGTGGTGTCATTCTGCATGTCTGGGTCCCTCACTAGACTGGGAGTTCCTTCAAGGAAGGATTCATCCTGTTCACCTCCAAAACCCAAGCCTTAAGCCTGCAGTAAGTGTTAGCTATCCACAGGTAAGTGAATAAATGCCTTTCTTAGAAAGTGTATTTGCTGTCTATTACTAAATAACAAATTACCACAAATGTAGCAGCTTAATACAATACACACTTGTTGTCTCACAGTTTCTGTGGGTCAGGAGTGCTGGTATAGTTTAATTGGGTTCTCTACTTAGAGTCTCAGAGGCTAAATCTACATTCTCACCAGGAGACTCAACTGGGGAAGATTTGATTTCAGACTCACTTGAGTTGTTAGCAGAATTTATCTCCTTGTGGTTGTAGGACTGAAGACCCAACTCCTTACTAGATGTCAGCTGGAGGCCACCCTCTGTCCCCTGCCATGTGGGCTTTCCAACATGGCTTCTTACATCATCAGCCCGTCAGCGAGTCTCCAGAGCAAGTCTGCCAGCAAAGCAGAGCCTTAGATAATGTAACATAATCACCGAAGGGACATTCTTTCACCTTTACCATGTTCTATCGCTTAGAACCAAGTGATAGGTTCCATCCACATCAAGGGAAGGGGATCATACAAAGACCCAAAGGTAGGAATCCTGGGGAACCATCCTAGAGTCTGTCCACTGCACAAGGAATAGAGTAAATCTTGCTGGTAACTTCTTTACTTTGTTTTAATTTCCCTTTTACTCCTCCTTTGGGTTCTCTCTTGCAGGTGGCTTTACAGCTGTTGGCAGATCGCTTCTGGAAGAAGGTGCAGCTCCAGTGGCCCCAGGTCCTGGGAAAGGAGAATCCATTCAACCTCCAGATTGAGCAGGTGTTTGGAGACCAAGGGGGGCACTAAGTCCTCAGGGACACCTGCTCCTGGGGAGCTCAGGAAGGCAGAAACTTGGGTAAACTCATTCAAGAAATGGTTATGGGAGCGGCTGTGTCACAAACTCACAGGCCCCTCTTCAGCAGCATCCTTGCAAAGTGCTTTTCTCCCATTTAAAAGCCTAGTGTCACTCTCTTCACTTCCCCTCTGCCACTTTTGGGGATGGCTTCCCAAATAAACCACTGGCACCCAAATCTTTGTCTCAATAAAGACAAAATTATAATGACAGTGTGTGCATAATTGTGTATGCTTTATTATTGTATTATTTTTAAACTTATTTATTTATTCCTGATAGGGAGATATTAATACTTCTATTTTGGCTAGGCACCAGCGTGAACCAAATCTCCCACTGATCGTATCAATGATTGGAAGACCTTACCACAGACTAGCTTCTGGCTTTGCGCATTTCACACCTTGTTTCTCCTCCACGATCCACACACTTCCTGTGCCGGGAGCTGTAGGACACTCTCTCCTACTGTGATCTGACCACTAACCCTGAACCTTTGCCAGGGGGCTGGTGGACAACAGGGGCGTACCTGGAAGCCCTTTCCTGCACCAGGATGGCTAGCGGTACCTACCTTAACTGTGCACAGAAATGACAGCTAACCACATAAATAGTCCAACCTAAATCCAGCCTAAACAGATCTCTATTTCAACTTCCCCAAAATTCCCATGGCTTTTCCAGAGCCACTGGATATAAGGGAAATTGTGACAGAGAGGAAGCAATTGTGTTTAAAATATCTTACTTTTGCAAATTTTACAAAGCATAGGACCATGTGAACTCATTGTTTGGGCCCCTTCCAGGGCTTTGGAAGGAACCCTAAAATTTAATCTTTCTTAGACTTATGGTAAATCCACCTCTACTCACAAGACAAACTGGCCAGATTTGTGTGAGCTTCAGTTTGGGGGGCCAACACAATTAAAATGTTGTGAACCCATTAATTTCTGTCACCTGGGCAGAATCCTTGGCTCAGCAATGACCAGCACATGTCCCCAGGAGGCAGATCAACAGAGGACCAACAAGCCCCAAGGAGGCTGCTTGTTTCAACCAGGAAATACAAACTCGGAGTATAGATTGAAGGTGTGAGGTGTGGAGGTGTGGGGCTGTGGACACCTGGTATATCCATCTCCTGCTGGTTTTGGTGTTCCAACATCCCATCTTATTTCTAAGGACTAAAATACCAATATTTGTTGTAGTGTTGTTTTGTTATTGTTTTTTTAATCTGAAATCTTAATCATTCAGTCTCAAAATATACCCAGAGAACAGTGCACTAAAAATTTGTATTCCTTTAGAAAATTCTATTCAATCCCCCTGATTAAAATGCTTCCAAGTTATTGCTATTCTAATTTTTATTTCCGAGTACTAGTGAAGTCAATAATCTTGTATTGCTTTTGATGTTGTTGGGGGGACGGAGAATTCACTTTAGGCCCTGATCTATTTCCAGAAGGCCCTGAAGGAATAGAGTTATTTTAAAAGTTGGGGGAAACTAGAGGGAGTGTATAGGGAGATTTGGAAGGTACAGGGAGGGGGTTCCCAGGTTGGATCCTCTTGAGCCCGACCACCTCCCAAGCCCGACCACCTCCCATCTCCCACCCTAGATGTCATCTCTGTCCCTGCCACTTTTTCCTGTTTAAATTCTCTTAAGACTGAACCCCCCACCTTGGGGATAATTTAACCAGTTCCATCTTCCTCATTCTCCATCTGAACAGGTTCAGATGGGAGGATGGAGGTACCTGGGTTCTGAGCCCTGACCTCATTCCTGGGGCAAAGCACCAAGAAATCAAAGGGTGGGAGAAGATGGTGCTCCCATCTCAATTTTTGTATAAAACACTAATGCTGCACGAAATACTAGGTATCACCATTGTCTCCACAAGAACTGGAGTCCCAGGCCAGGCCCACTTCCCTGGATTGGGAGCTCATGGGTGAGGCCTGTCCACTTCTGCCTCCATTTTCTATACTCCCATCCAGACATGTTCTTTCTTTGAGATTCAACCATGTCTTTCTCTCTGGCTTGGAGATATTCTGTCTCTGTAAGGTGTTGTATATACTTCTGATAGCATCTGAGTGTCCAGAATTTATGGTAGAGCCATGGGGGACAGTTTCTATCCCGTATTTCTGCACTGGTGCCCCTTGAGCTACTGTCTTCAGCCTCTAGTTTTTCAGAATCATAGTGTATGAGTGCTGTCCTTTGACAGGCACCTGAAGGGCTTTCTTGGGGTGGCTTGCACCCCTCTCCATCCCCTTCCCCAGTTCCTGGACTGGTGTCCTGGAGAGAAGAGCCAGAACCTGAACAGAAACTCCAGGAGATGAGAACCAGGCCAGTCAGGTCCACTCCTGTATCAACAGCCCTACAACAATGCCTGGCCCATGAGAGGTGCTCAGTAAGCAGTACTGATTGAATGAATGAATGAATATTGGGGTTGCTCTCCAGGGCACACTTCCTTATATCTTGCTATTTAGGGGGAAAAAAGAAGCGTCTTTTTGACACATTTGAATTAGCCCCGTTGAATCATACTCCTTGTGGTGTGAAGGTTAAGAAAGAAAAGCAATCAACGCAGGGGATGCTTTCCTTTCTGGACACCCTTGGTCAGAAGACATGATTTTCATCTAAACGCTCCAATACTATACTGTCATTTGTTTCTCCTATTTTCAGATTAAAGACCTCTCTTACCCTTTGCTATTGGAATGGGACTCCTCATTTTCCACATGAATAATCGTCAAGAACTTCTATCATAGAGCCTTTTGGGTTCAGGACCTGGTGGAAAAATATTTCAGACCCCCCAGCAAGAGCAAATCAGCTAAAAAATCTTATCTGAGACTTGTACTGACCCACAACATAGCAGGGACTGGAGCCCCCAGGAATTTTCACCAGCTACCCCACTTTACCCTCTCCTGAGTTAGTCCCACTAAAGAAGGGATTCTGAACTGTAATCTATGGGAACCACCCTCTCCCAGAATTAAGAGTGCCTATGAACTTGAATAGGAAAAATTATCTTTACTACCCTCTAAGTAAAATTCACCATTTCCTTTAATTATGAACGTAGGCAACAAAACACTATTTTTTTTACAAAACACTGTATGTTTGCAACTGTATTCATAGCTGTCTGTCACAAATATTTTCACATCACATTACATTTGTTGCAGATACAGTCAATTCTCATTACTCAGGGCAGTTATGTGCTATAGTCACCCTGAATACTGAATTAGCAAACGCTGAACCACTGCGCCTAGCGGTAAAACGGGCTTACATTCCTGTGAGCCTCTGGTCACAACGTTATCATCCACCAATCAATACACAATCTTTTTTTAATGTGTGGTTTTTGTTTAAAGACACCTTATTTAATTTATAGTTGATTAATTAATGTTGAAGTCACAGCCAACAGCACGACACCTCGCATCTAAATGAAGCTTAACTACCCATCTATGTTCTTCATAAGGCACATCACAGTCTCCTGCACTTAAGCACACGAGGTGGCACTTCAGCACTGCACTCAGAGACTGTTTTAAACAGTGAAGTCACCAACGAAAAGCATAAAAATGCCCAAAATGTGGCAGGAAATACACTGTGAAAAAGACACCTTTTTTCACAGGGCGCTGCCTTTTTCAACCTCAGCTGGGAACGTGCAGGTCAGGTGATTGAAATTTCTCACTGCTCAAATGACCACAAAAGTGCCATGAGTATTGATTTGGGGGTTACAGATAAATTTTAGCAAGTACACGAATTCACAGATATAGAATTTGTGAATAACGAGGAATGACCTTATCTTGAAATATCATTTATGGCCATGAGTACTTGAAACACCTGTAATTATTAGATCCATTAAAAAAGAAATACATATATTAATGCATGCCCATCTTTAAATATTTCAAAATATTTTTAGTAGTGTGATATTTGGTTTTGATACAAATGGTTTCCTTTGTAATCCTATGTGTTTTATTTTTTGCACTTAAAAACGTTATTCTGAGAAGGGATCCCCAGCTTCCCCAGCCTGCCAAGGGGGTGCATGACACACACAGAGTTGTATGTTCTGGGATGTGTTGCTTTGAGAAGGAAGAACTCCACAGTCTAAAAAGAACTCCACAGTCTAAATAGTCTGGAAGCACAGCATAACTTCTCTGCTTCCTGGAAAGCCACAGGGTGAAAGTCCTGCAGTAGAGAAGTGTGTTCAGCTCATTATTTACCCAATATTTTTGACCTAGAGGCCCTTCTCCTCCTATGAGAGGTATTAACACTCTGTGGTCTTCATGCTCTACAGAAACACCTTGGGAGATGCTGCTTTTGTCATTTTTAGTTCTACCAGAAAAGCTGTTGTTGCAGTGAGAAGAATTCCAAAGACATCCTGTTTTATACAAAAGATGAGGGGTGGGGATTCTAGTCTGAATATACCTGGGAAATTCCTCACACTGCCGGTGAGTGTGTTAGAGGCTAATTCCTCTGGGGATTACACTTTTGAAGCTCTTGGATGGATAGAAATGCAGAGGAGAGGTAAAGAGCACACAATGAGGCTTGCTAAGGATTTATCTGGGCATTGTGCTCCCGGCTGGCTGCTTTGTTTATAATTAATTACATGGAGTATTTACAGGAACCCTTTGGGCCTCAGAATGCTGCAAATGTAACTCACGGGTTCACAAAGCTGCAGTCAATAAACTGCAGCAGAAAGATGGGCAAGAGGACACACCAAGGGCTTCCATGGCAGCCCACGCTCAAGGCAGCTTCAGACCCCGGAGACTTTCAGCCTCCCCTGAGGACTCTTCCCTCTGAGATGCACACTTTGCACAGGCTCAGAAAAACACCAGGTGTTAGTATTTTTACAGTGATTCCCCCCATTGTACCTCTGCAAATATCAGCGAGAGCCTGGACGTTGTACGAGGCTGCTAGGGGAGCAGAGAGATTTTGAGAACTAAGAGGTGGGAAAGAACAATACTCTGTCCTGCTGCCTCCTGGCTGGGGGACACATCAAAGCACAACCAGTGGGAAATTCAGGAAGCAACAGGTTTTGGAGTCACTTGTCTGGGTTTGAATCTTGTTTAAGCTCCTGGTGCCTCAGTTACTTTCCCTTTCGAATGAGAGCAATAGTACCTGTTTCCTAGCGCTACTGGGAGCACTAAGGAAAAGAGCTGATGTTTACAGAGGGCTTTGTGACGTGGATTATCTCACAACAACTACATTAGGCAGGTCTGCCATGATTATCTGCTTTTACAGATAGGGAGATAGAAACAGAGAGCAGTTAAGTAA